ACTAAATAGATAAAATAATTAGCAGGAAAAGGTCGAGCAAATTTAAAATATAAACATTAAATCAATAATGAAGAGTATAACAAAATAAAATAATTTAATTAATGTGCCACACTGATCTACACAATTTAAAACATAATCTTTCACATTTAGCCCGTGTACACACTCGTCACCTCGTGTACACGATTTTTCATACATTACAATTATCAATCCTAGGGGAAATTTCCCCCACACAAGGTTAGACAAGTCACTTACCTCGACTTACTCCAATTTAACGAAGTATTATGCATTTTTCTCGATTTTTCGACTCCGATCGACTCGTATCTAGTCATAATTAATTCGATACAGTCAACAAAAATTATAGAAATCAATTTCATAAGAAAATACTATATTTTTCAATAAAATCCGAAATTAGCTCAAAAATCGCCCGTGGGGCCCACATCTCGGAAACCGACAAAACTCACAAAATCTGACAACCCATTCAATTACGAGTCCAACCATACTAGTTTCACTCAAATCCGACTCCGGATCGACACGAAAATCTCAAAAATTTGTTTCTATGAGATTTCTAAAATTTTCCCAAATTTCGATCTCAAAACTCTAATTAAATGATGAAAACAATGATATATTCATGTATATTAACCAAATCCGAGTTAGAATCACTTACCCCAATATTTTTCCTTGAAAATATATCAAAATCGCCTCTCCTCAAGCTCCAATTCGTCAAAAATGGCAAATGGGACGAAGTCCCCTATTTTTTATAACTTACAGATTTGTGAGGGAGTCCGATTTGTCAGGGAGCCCGATTGTCAGGGAGCCCGATTTGTGAGGGAGCTCGATTTGTCAGGTAGCCCGATTTGTGCGGAAGCTCGATTTCGATTTGTCAGGAAGCCCGATTTGTTAGGGAGCCCGATTTGTCAAGGAGCCCGATTTGTCAGGGAGCTCGATTTGTCATGGAGCCCGATTTGTCAGGGAGCTTGATTTTGACAGCATTTCTAGCAGAAAAATTGCAGCAGCTTTTGCAGCAGCTAAGTCCCACTTTTGATCCGTTAACCATCCGAAACTCACCTGAGGCCCTCGGGACCTCAACCCAATATACCATCAAGTCCTAAAACATCATACGAACTTATTTGAAACCTCAAATCAAGTCAAACAATGCTAAAATCACAAATCACACCCCAATTCAAGCTTAATAAAACTCAAGAATTTCCAACTTTTACATTCGATGTCGAAACCTATCAAATCAAGTCCGATTGACCTCAAATTTTGTACACAAGTTATAAATGATATAACAGAGTTGTAAAAAATTTCAGAACTGGATTCCGGCCCCGATATCAAAAAGTCAGCTCCTCGGTCAAACTTCCAAACTTAAATTTCTATTTTAGCCATTTCAAGCCTAATTTCACTACGGACTTCCAAATAAAATTTCGATCACGCTCCTAAGTTCAAAATTACCATACAGAGCTGTTGGAATCATCAAAATTCTATTCGGGGGTCGTTTGCACATAATTCGATATCCGGTCACTATTTAAACTTAGACTTTTAATTTTTCATCAAAATTCCATATCTCTGGCTAGAGACCTCGGAATTAAATTTCGGGAATATGCCCAAGTCCTAAATCACGATACGGACATACCGGAACTGTCAAAATACTGATCCGAGTTTTAATCCATTTTCACATAAAAACTTTTTGAAAAATTTTACGGACTGCGCACGCAAGTCGAGAAATGATAAAATAGTACTTTTTGAGGTCTTAGAACACATAATTAATTATTAAATTTAAAGATGACATTTTGGATCATCACAATAACAGTAATAGATCAGACAATGTATGAATGCTATGTGATGTGATGCCAAAATGCTATACTTTTAGCTATTTGTCTAATGGGTTATTGTATGCTATTTGATAAATTGTGTTGTTTTATATGTAGGAACATCGGAAGGAATCATCAAATGAAAATTGCACAAAAAGAGTACAAAAATACAAGAAAAGAGCACAAAAGCATCAAGTATCCAAACCGTGCTATAGACCAGGCTTAGCAAGGTTTAGACCGTGCTACAGAGCTTGCCCAGTGAGGTTTAGACCGCGCTATAAACCAGGCTTCGCAAGGTCTATAGCACGGTAATTAAAAGTTGCGGGTTAAAAGACCCAAACCCAAAATTGGACCGGGGGATTGACATAAATACTCCCCAAATGAGTTATTCTAGGGTTGGACGTGATTTTGTAGAAGAAATAGGCTGCCAAGCACTGTGAAGCAAGAATCAAACGAGTTTTCCCTTCCTTTATCTCTTTACTTTGTAGTTTCATGTCTTTAAATATTATGTTGATTGTTGTTGTATTTATGAGTAGCTAAACTCTTTTATCTAAGGTTTGATGGAACCTATTAGAGGATTATTCTTTCTGCGTTTAATATAGATTTGTCTTTGATTTTTCTCTACTTGTTCAACTATATTTTCATTGTTGTTAATTGAAGAGCTCTCAATTAATTGTGCCTATTTAATGTGTATATTGCTCGAGAGAGAGTGCACATTTAAGTAGTTATTAAATAATATCACTCCTAATGTAGTTGAGAGATCGATACGCAGGGTTTAAAGGCGGGATTAGAGATAACGAAGCCTTGGTGCGATCGTCGTGAACGGTAAATTAGTGCCATCTAGCGTAGTTTGAGAGAATATGTCTAGTAAATTGTAGTATTTACTCGAGAGAGAGCTACGGCACTCAACGTACTCACGATCGGTAGAAAATATTTAAGCGAATTTATAGGATATGTAGCGGGGAAGATTTCGACAATAAAGGAAAATTATAACCTTAGACTTTTCCAAATCTTGTCTACAATATTTGCCTTGTTAGTTATAAATTATTGCATTTTTAATTACTTTGGTCTTAGTTAGTAAACTCTCAAATTATTATAAGGCATAGTTGGGCGTGATCAAATTTTGGCTCCGGACTTGTAAACCGGATTATATTTGCAACGATCGCTTAATCCTTTTTATAAGGCATAGTTGGGCGTGATCAAATTTTGGCGCCATTGCCAGGGAGGCAATATTGTTACTAATTACAGCTATAAGAATTTGTAGGATTCTTAGTTTAGTCAATTTTATCCATTTTTATTCATTACATTGAAATTCTAATGTTTGTGGTCTTGTGTGTTATAGGTGTATGCCTAGAAACTCTTCAAGAACTGGTGAATTGTTTAAAGCATTACCGGATCCTGAGAAAACTTTCAAGGCATTAAATTGTGCAAACAAGAAAGACAAACAACATCATCACCCAAGAGAAAAAATTGAACCAAACATGGGTGACGCTTTGGATAATCAAAACAATCGAAACAATGTGAATGACCCGAACAATCAGGGTGTGGCACCTCTTGTGCCAGAAGAAGCTTTGTATGATTGGGCACAACCCACTGCTGAAAATTTGGCAACTGCAATTGCAGTCCCTCAGATACAAGCGGAGTCATTTCAAATCACAAACAACATGCTACATTTGCTGCCAAACAAGGGACTATTCTCCGGGTCTTACATTGAAGATCCACAACAACATCTGAAAAATTTTCTGTCAATTTGTGTCACGCAAAGGCAACCGAATCTGACACCTGAAGCAATAAGACTGTTGTTGTTTCCATTCTTAGTGACAGGAGAAGCCCAGACTTGGCTTAATTAGCTCCCCATAAATTCCATTACCACTTGGGAGGAATTAGTCAAGCAGTTTCTAAACAAGTTTTACCCACAAAATAAGACCGCCAAGCAAGTTGAGGAAATATTGAGCTTCAGGCATAAACTAGCTGAAACATTACAAGAAATGTGGGAGAGGTTCAAAGGTATGCTGGTTAAGTGTCCACATCATGGCATTCCAGATCAGATGTTGGGACAACGGTTTTACATGGGATTGGCGGATAATTTGAAGGCCAATGTTGATGCTTCAGTAGGTGGGGCATTTTTGAGCAAGTCATTTAGAGAATGTAAAGTCCTGCTAGATAAAATGGCTCAAAACTCAGGCTGGATGACAAGAGACACTATAATCACCCCTATAGTTCACTCAGTAGCATTGGACCCAAACAATTCCATAGCCAAGAATATGGCTACTCTGATGACACAAATGAGTATCCTCACCAAGAAGATTGATGAATCAGGTACACATAGTTGACATGACTAATGAGGGATTATGTACACCATGCATTAACTAACCATACATGTGTTCTTGGAGTGGTGAAAGTGACAACCAGAACTATCAAGAGAACATGAACTATGTGGGCAACTATAGAGGCCAGAGGCAAGGTGGTCAGAATTGGGGGCAGCAAAATCAGCAATATAGACCAGCACATCAATAATACAATAACACCAACAATCCTGGAGCTATGTGACCACATGGTCAAATAGTACCTTACCAAAGGCAACAGGGGTACAATCAACATTATCAGTAGCTGGCTTATCAACAACCTCAGTAACAACAACTAGTAAAACAAGATGATTGGTTGTCTGAAATTAAAGGAATGTTACAGCAACTGATTGGGTCTGATGGAAAAATGCAAGAAAAGGTGAAAGCACACGAGTCAACGATAAAAGGTATTGAGATTCAATTAGGCCAAATATCTATGGATCTGAATAATCATCCCCAAGGGACTTTACCTGCAGACACAAATGTCAATCCGAAGGAGTAGGGTCCGAATCAGCTTATGGCGGTAAGCCTGAGAAATGGTAGGGATCTTGATTTAGAGCAAGAAATTGCTCATGAGAGCCGGTTATCTGAAACACTTGTGACAGTGCCAATTGAGTTAGATGAGTCAACTGAGCTAACAAAAGTAAGAGTGAAACCAGACCCTGAGGAAATAAATAAGGAAAAAGAGGTTGCGGAGGAGACTGAGAAAGTACAGGAGAAGGCATTAGAAAAAGTGCCTGAGTATGATCTAACTCAAGCTACAGCAAAAAAGCGACCTCCGGCACCCTTCCCGCACATGTTGGCCAAATATCAGAAGGATTAACAGTACAAAAAATTCATGGAAATGTTAAAGCAAATTCAGGTAAACATTCCTCTAATTGATTCTCTGAGAGAGATGCCCGGTTATGCAAAAATAATGAAGAACTTGATGTCTCGTAAGTTCGACTTCCAAGACTTGATAACTGTCACGTTGACACAAACTTGTAGTGCTGTTGTGTCAAGACCTATAGCTGAGAAGTTATCCGACCCTGGAAGCTTCACAATTCCATGCACCATATGTAGCTCTGCATTTGCCAAAGCATTGTATGATTTGGGAGCAAGTATAAATCTCATGCCATTGTATATCTATAAAAAGTTAGGCATTGTAAGAGCAAGGACCACATCCATGTTACTGCAGCTAGCTGACCGAACGGTGAAAATACCATCAGGTATACTTGACGATGTACTTGTGCAAGTTGGAAAATTCATGTTTCCAGCAAATTTTGTCATTTTGGACTGCAAGGTTGATAAGGAGATTCCCATAATTTCGAGAAGGCCGTTCTTAGCCACAGGGAGAGCTCTGATTGATTGTGAAATGGGGGAGCTGAAAATGAGGCTGAATAATGAAGAAATAACATTTAATGTGCAAAAGTCTATGCGGTGACCCAATGATTTTGCAAATTGCTCTTTGTTAGACATGGTGGATGTAATCATGGAGGAAGATGATGAGGCCATTAATGCAAAAGACCCTCTAATAGCCTGCCTTATAAACTTAGAAAAAGTAAATCGTGAGGACTTGGCGGAATGGGTGTTGGCTCTTCAAGAGCAAGGGTACTCGAAAAGAGAGCTCGAGTTTGAGCCTTTACACTTAGAAGAAAGAAAGACGCCTCCATCCAAGCCATCGATCGAAGCATCACCATAATTATAGCTCAAACCGCTACCATCTCACCTCACGTATGCTTTCTTGGGACCTAATTTGTCTTTACCTGTTATTATCTCATCTGGTTTATTAGATGTGCATGTAGAACAACATTTGCAGGTATTAAAAGAGTGGAAAAATGCAATTGGTTGGACCATTGCAGACATTAAGGGTATCAACCCGGCCTTTTACATGCATAAAATTCTAATGAAAGATGGGCACAAACCTTCCAGAGAACATAAAGAAGGCTGAACCCTAACATGAAGGAACTTATCAAGTGGTTAGATGCGGGAATTATTTTTTCCATCTCATATAGCAATTGGGTTAGCCCAGTTCAGTGTGTGCCAAAGAAAGGTGGGATGACTGTTGTGCAAAATGAGAATAATGAATTAATCTCAACAAGAATAGTCACGGGATGGCGAGTTTGCATGGACTACAGAATATTGAACAAGGCCACCCAAAAAGATCATTTTCCCTTGCCGTTCATTGATCAGATGCTAGATAGATTGGCAGGGAGGTCCCATTTTTGCTTCTTGGATGGATACTCGGGGTACAACCAAATATCTATTTCCCTGGAGGATAGAGAGAAAATGTCATTCACCTCTTCATATGACATTTACGCTTTTCGGAGAATGCCGTTTGGCCTATGCAATGCACTGCCTCATTCCAAAGGTGCATGATGGCCATCTTCACAGCTATGGTAGAGGATATAATGGAGGTTTTCATGGATGATTTCTCAGAGGTGGGAAATTCTTTTGACGATTGCCTTAGAAATCTGAAAAGAGTGTTGCAGAGATGTATGGAGACTAATCTGGTGCTGAACTGGGAAAAATGCAATTTATGATACAGGAAGGTATAGTCTTGGGACACCTGGTGTCAAGTAAGGGCATTGAGGTGGACCGTGCAAAGATTGATGTAATAGAGAAGCTGCCACCACCCACTACCGTCAAGGCAATAAGAAGTTTCCTTGGTCACGCCGGTTTTTACAGGCGGTTCATAAAAGATTTTTCCAAGATTTCTAACCCTTTTGTGTAAATTGCTTGAAAAAAATCACCATTTTGTATTTTCTGATGATTGCAGGGTAGCTTTCGAAGGACTGGAGAAGAGGCTAGTGTCTGCACCTATCATAGTTGCACCCGAGTGGGAGCAACCATTTGAGCTGATGTGTGATGCAAGTGACCATGCCGTGGGAGCAGTACTTGGACAGAGAAAAGATAAAATCATGCATCCAATCTACTATGCAAGTAGAACATTGAATGGCGCTCAACTGGATTACAAAGTGACAGAAAAAGAGATGCTAGCAGTGGTGTTCGCATTTGACAAATTTCGGTCCTACTTGACAGGTTCGAAGGTAATTGTTTATACTGACCCTGCTGCTCTCAGGTACCTATTTGATAAAAAGGAAGCAAATTTGTGCCTGATTCAATGGGTTCTACTGCTATAAGAGTTTGACATGGAAATTCGTGATCGGAAAGGAACGAAAAACCAAGTTGCCTATCACTTGTCCAGGCTTGAAGGAGCTAAAATGAAGGTTGAGGTGGAAGATATCATGGAGACTTTCCCGGATGAACAACTGTTAGCCACGAGCCTTGAGGATGCGCCATCGTATGCATACATTGCAAACTACTTGGCAAGAAGCATTGTTCCCTATGAATTATCTTTTGTGTAGAAGAAAAAGTTTTTTCGTGATTGTCGCATGTATTTCTGGGATGAACCATATTTGTTTCGGATTTGTATTGATAACATGATTCAGAGATGTATTCCCGATATAGACCAAGCTTCTATTTTGCAGGCATGTCATGCTTTGCCTTATGGAGGTCATTTCGGAGGAGTAAGGACAACTGCTAAAGTTTTGGAGTCGGGCTTCTATTGGCCGACGTTGTTTAAAGATGCACATTTTTGGGTAAAAAGTTGTGATAAGTGTCAAAGGATGGGATATTTCCCATCGACATGAGATGCCCATGAACCCAATCCAAGAAGTAAAAGTATTTGATGTATGGGGAATCGACTTTATGGGACCATTTGTCAGCTCATACAACAACAAGTATATATTTGTAGTAGTGGACTATGTCTCGAAATGGGTAGAAGCTGTAGCGCTCCCAACAAATGATGCAAAGGGAGTGATTGGTTTTCTAAGAAAAAATATCTTCACTCGATTTGGAACTCCAAGGGCGATCATCAGTGATGGAGGAACTCACTTCTGCAATCAAGCCTTCGCAAAGTTGCTGGAAAAATATGGCGTACGCCATAAGGTTGCCACTCCATATTACCCACAAACAAGTGGACAAGTTGAGGTGTCAAACTGAGAAATCAAGAGTCTTTTAACCAAAACTGTAAATGCGTCTCAGACTGATTGGGCAAAAAAAATTGGATGATGCACTATGGGCCTACCAGACTGCATTCAAAACTTCGATTGGTATGTTACTGTACAGATTGGTGTTCAGAAAGGTGTGTCACTTACCGGTGGAGCTAGAGCATAGAGCTTTCTGGGCATTAAGGCAATTAAATCTTGACATGGAGGCCGCTGGTACGAGTAGAGTCATAGAACTTCATGAACTCGATGAGTTTCGTTACCATGCTTTTGAAAGTACCAGGTTGTACAAGGAAAGGATGAAGATCATGCACGACAAGCATATTCAAGAGAGGATTTTCAAACTCAGAGATATCGTGTTGTTGTATAATTCAAGATTGAAACTATTTCCGAGCAAGCTGAAATCTAGATGGTAGGGACCATTTAGAGTGGTGCAAGTACTCTCAAGTGGAGTTGTAGAAATTGAATCCGAGGATGGAACGAACAGGTTTAGAGTTATTGGGCAAAGGTTGAAATAATACCTTGGCATGGATGAGGAAAAGGTTGTATTAGTGATTCATTTGAAGGAGCCTCAATTGTTGAGTGAACCTTAACTTTGATCTCATGCGTCGTGCCGCGACGTTAAATCAGGCGCTCGTTGGGAGGCAACCCAATTCGTAGTTTATTTTAGCTTAACTATAAATTTTCGTTTGTTTTATGCACTAACAAGTTTTTAATTTAATCTTGGTGTCTGAACATGTAATGGAGCATGATGGAAATTATGGCGCTTGGAGTTGTTGACGAAACGAAATAAAAATTACATGCATACGCTCCAAACAACACTGCGTACCTCGCGACACCCAGTTCAAAGCACAACGCACATGGAAGCAAACCTCGCGTCACAAACATTTCACCTTGCGGCACAAATTGCATCGCCTGCTGTCCAGCATGTTTTCCAACTCACATCTCCCAGTCTTCAGCGCGCTATAGAGCTCGCCCAGCGAGGGTTATAGCGAGAACAATCTCGCGGCAGCCTCGCGTCGCAAGGGAAATAGTGAGCAAATCCTGGCATTATGCCTTGCGCCTCCTTCTTCATAGCTCGCTAAGGAGCTCGCGTCACCACGTAAGTTCTCGCTGTGATCTCACATCGCCAGGTAAGTTTCTCGCTGTGATCTCGCGTCACCGGGTACTTAGCATGCATTAGAGATAGCTTCGCACAATCCTTTGGTCGCGTCGCCAGCCATGGTTCTTGCTCTCTATTATTTTCAATGGCCATTCCCCATTTTCGCTGTAAAAACTCAGCTTCAGAGATCGCCATGAACCTCACACCAAACTGTCCAGTGCTCGCTTGGGAGCTTGCCTAGCAAGATTTGCCTCACGTCGCGCGGGTAATCGTAAGGTCCAGCTCGCGTTTGCCTCATGTCGCTCGGGTTATCGCGAGGTAATTTTTCTTTGCTTTTCAAACTTACCTCGCATCAGACCTCGCCCAGCTAGAAAATCATCTCGTTAAGCCTCGCGTCGCATGTGTTGTAGTGAAGTCCACCTTGCAGCAGCCCTCGCGTCACCTGCCTCTAAGCTCGAAATGGAGCTCGCGTCGCCTGCGTCTAAGCTCGCAATGGAGCTCGCTTCGCCTGCTTCTAACCTCGCTAAGGAGCAAGCCTCGCCAGGTAAGTGATGTTTTCATATTCTTGTAAGCTTAGTTTTCTAACTTCTTTAGATTAATATACTACTTAGTTTTCTAACTTCTTTAGATTAAAACACTACACTGTTTTCTAACTTCTTTAGATTAAAACACTACACTGTTTTCTAACTTCTTTATATTAAAATACTACTTTGTTTTCTAACTTCTTTATAATAAAATACTACACAAAAGACATACACCTCACTAAACACACTACACTGCCCATCCATTTTTTCCCTTTCCCCTCTCACACACAAATTTCATTGAAGACGATTTGCATCCACTCTCACTCACTTGAGACATCAATTGAAAAGAACACTTCAATCCTCCTAAGCATCTAAGGTACGAAGGAAAGAGCCAAAGCAATCCGACGAGGATGATGATGATGATGCTGAGGGAGCAGAGGATGAGGACTCGACAGGTGCATATGGAGGCTTCGACGATGACTTATCAGGGAGTTTTTCCATCCACCTTACATGTTTTTCTATTTATGAATTTATATATGCATTGAGGACAATGCATGATCTAAGTGTGGGGTGGAAGGTATTCTCTGTCATTTGTACATATTAGATAAACTAAATAGTTTGTGTGTTTAATATTTATTTTATTTTTGTATTTTCCCTTATTTAATAGTGAAAATACATAAATAAATAAATGAAATGACTAGACTTTTCCCGACCAAGGATCTCTTATGCAATTTTCTTGAGGGACTTAAGTCTAACAAAAAATAATTTATATATATATATA